TATTACAGACATACATATAATTTTATAAAAACAAAACCATTCTTATGTTTTAGATTATTTGAAAGACTACATTGTTGTGTTCAAAAGCAACTAAAACCTAGTCTGAATTCCCCTTTCACTTTGATTCATTAATGTATTTTGTTTGCTTTTGTTTACCTCTCTGCATCATTTTGTTTAAGTTGCTGTTTGCCAAGACCACTAGATATGATAGGTCCCTGCAGACTTAATGTAGATGGTAGACCTTACCAAACTTCAAATGAACTTTGCTAAGAACATTACCTGAAAAAATTCACAACACTGACAATTTTAGGATTTTTATTATGCACATATAATAAACACATAAACTGAAACACATACAATACAAAAAAATATTTTTTTTGAAAAATTCAAACTTACATTTTCAGGAATTTCATTCTGAATGTAACCAAACTAGTATTTAAGTTAGAAGATATTGAAATATATTTAAGAACACACTGAAACTGTTTCCCCCTCAAGTAATGCTTTTATCCCTGTTAATACTCCCCCTCGTCTTCACCTTCACCCTCAACAGATTCAATCCCAACCTCCTCATAATCCTTCTCCAAAGCTGCCATGTCCTCCCTGGCCTCAGAGAACTCTCCCTCCTCCATACCCTCACCTACATACCAGTGAACAAAAGCACGCTTAGCGTACATCAGATCAAACTTGTGGTCAAGTCGAGCCCAGGCTTCTGCGATAGTGGTGTTGCTCAGCATGCACACAGCCCTCTGGGCCTTGGCCAGGTCTCCACCAGGAACTACAGTGGGCCGCTGGTAGTTGATGCCAACCTTGAAACCAGTGGGGCACCAGTCCACAAACTGGATGGTGCTCTTGGTCTTTATGGTGGCGATGGCGGCATTGACATCTTTGGGCACCACATCACCACGGTACAAAAGGCAGCAGGCCATGTATTTGCCGTGGCGAGGGTCACATTTTACCATCTGATTGGCTGGTTCAAAGCAGGCGTTGGTAATTTCTGCCACTGTTAACTGCTCATGGTAGGCCTTCTCAGCAGAGATGACAGGGGCATAGGTGGCCAGAGGGAAGTGGATACGAGGATATGGCACCAAGTTGGTCTGAAACTCTGTAAGATCAACATTAAGAGCACCATCAAAACGCAGGGAAGCAGTGATGGAGGACACAATCTGACTCATCAGCCTGTTGAGGTTGGACGCTCAATGTCCAGGTTCCTGCGACAGATATCGTAGATAGCCTCGTTATCCACCATGAAGGCACAGTCAGAGTGCTCTAGAGTGGTGTGGGTGGTCAGGATGGCGTTGTACGGCTCTACCACAGCAGTGGACACCTGTGGAGCTGGGTAGATGGAGAACTGGAGCTTGGACTTCTTGCCGTAATCAACAGACAGACGCTCCATCAGCAGGGATGTAAAACCAGAGCCCGTACCACCGCCAAAGCTGTGGAAAACCAGGAATCCCTGAAGACCAGTGCACTGGTCAGACTGAGGACAGAGAAACATAACATCTTATATTACCAAATATAAGAAATTCAATAATATAGTTTAGATAATAGCAATAAGGTCAGGGACCACTTTATAACAAAGTAATATTAAGTTATTTGATAGTTTCACACATTAAACATATGTAAAAGTAATCACTGTGACCAAAGACCTACAGTATGACTTGGCTGTTCTCAATACTCTGTTTCTAACAGGGTGTTTTTCTCTTCTTTTGAGACAAGCTGAGTTCTGATGTGACAGATTTCTTCATATGATGATGATCTACTCCAGGCATGCTACTGCAAGTATTTACGTTCCATAGCCTACAGTGCTACATGTAAACATACATACTAATGTCCTAGAAACATAAAATCGTGGTTTCTGTCATTGTTAATTTTTCCCCAATATGTAAATATAATCTTACTGGAACACGTCAAGTCGTGAAGATTTTGGCTGAAAAGCTTTTATTAGTGATTTTTCATGGTAGAAAGTGCAAACTCAATACCCGAATAATGCGTGACAAATGATTTTATATATAACTTTTAATATGTGTCTGGTGGGGTAGGTGAATGTCTATTCCACTTGCCCTCAAAAAAATCCACTTCTCCCAGATAAGTGGACAAGCCTTAATGTAGAGCCCTGAGCCATATCGTTGAAGCAGCAGTCTGTTTTGTAAGTGAATAAACATTTACAGAATGTACTAGTACTTATTTATACTAAATAAAAGAGACTAATTTGGAGCGGCTGTTATTTGTAGGTTATTATGCAATGGTGTTATAGGTGGGCTACTTCAAATCAAATTGGGCTGTATGTGGCCCATGATAACTCAGACACCCCTGTTACAGTAGAAACCAAAACACAAGTATGGACCTGAAAGTTAGCATAATAGGTCTCCTTTAACTTGACATTACACTGAGATCTATGAATAGGAGGACTTAATGTGTCATTGTAAACTCACAACATCAACATTTTTTCAAACAAAAGTCTAATATTTTGCTTGTATTTGACTTAAGTTTTAAAATCTGAATTGATAGCTGGTGTTAAAAGAGTTTAACAGCTATATCCATTGAACATAACTTCTGACAGCTGGTCAAACTACAAAATAAGGCTTTGCTGTTAAGTGACATTAAACCTCTAGCTACTCACTGTCTATAAACCTGGACAAAGTTGAAGCAAAACTATCTACGTGTCTGGAATATTTCTAAAAGTTAGAAAACGATCCAACCTTACATATAGAAAATGATTTGCTGCCCTCTGGTGACACAAATGTAAAATGTATAATGTGAGTCTAACTGCACTGATGGCACTTTCCTGATACAATGATACAAAAGAATAATTCATAACAGGCTATTGGCATCATTAGTAGGTTGTCCTCCTGCTCTGAAGTGACCCACCAGTTTGCGGATCCTGTCCAGCACCAGGTCAATGATCTCTTTGCCGATGGTGTAGTGTCCACGGGCATAGTTATTGGCAGCATCCTCCTTGCCAGTGATCAGCTGCTCAGGATGGAACAGCTGCCGGTAGGTCCCAGTTCGCACCTCATCTGAGGAGACAGGTTGAATCGAAATGATTAAAGGGTCTGACTCACCAAAATCAACCAGAGACTATGGTCTACATTCAGTTAAGACTTTACCAGTGACGGTGGGCTCCAGGTCCACAAAAACAGCCCTGGGGACGTGCTTTCCAGCTCCAGTCTCACTGAAGAACGTGTTGAAGGAATCATCTCCCCCTCCAATGGTCTTGTCACTGGGCATCTGTCCATCAGGCTGGATCCCATGTTCCAGGCAGTAAAGCTCCCAGCAGGCATTGCCAATCTGGACACCAGCTTGACCCACGTGCACTGAGATACACTCACGCTGGAGGAAAACACAGGCAATTTGTAACATTTAGCAATTTCATACTAATCATTTGCTTTAGATCCCTAAACATATTTTAAAAGGCAGCTAAAAAGACAAGACTGGGAACAACGGCAGGGAGAAAGACAAGGCGAATACTGTAAAAGCTGTCAGACAGTAAAGCAGAGGACAGTAGGGCGGTAAGGCCTTTGACCTCCTAGAAAAACTATATGAGGAACCTTTGATGGCTGGAAAGCGCAGTTGGGACACTGTCTGCTGAAGGGCTTTCTACCAGAGAGGCAGTTGTTGGTAAAGCGTAAGACAAAATTCGTGGTTTGAGTTAACATACACAGACTGCTGTCAGAAAGGCTTTTCTAAGAGAAAGCCTACATGGAGAACTTCTCTCATGTACTTATGTACCCGGAGCCTGGTCCGCCATCTTGTTTAATTTAACTTGCTGCTAGCCTCTTAACAGGGAGGCAAAACTGTAACTGAATTTGAACTGTGCCTTTACATTAATCCGAAAATGACAATAACTGAATAAAGATAAACCCAATTTATAAAACGTACAATTAAAACGTCCCTTAAAAATTAAACACGCGATGCAAACCGTCCTCTTCAATCTATTAAGTTAGCTAACGTTAATGCTAAAATGGCGACAGTTAACCCATGATGATTCCGCAAAATGAAAGCAAGCTAACATTAGCTAACCCAGGGAAACTTCCGAGCTTTCAATTTAATTAGGAGAATAAATATGCCAAATTCACAGAATTCCATACTCACCATGTTTATGAGGTACTGAAATGTAGAGATCTGCTGACAACTGTCATAGACAGCCTGTCCGGGTTGCTTCACTGTCAACTGAGTCCTCTTGATGCACTTGACGCTACACGGGTAAAGATCTGCCCAATCCCATTGGTCAACTGTCACACGAGCTCTTTTGCCATTGGTTGAACAAAATCTGTCATCATCTTCAACAGGATGTCAGGATGTTACGATCCTTTATAATCTTTCCATTTTTTACAGGCATACATACAAACAAAAACAAAACCTTGATATTTTAAACGACTTGAAACACTACATGTTGTGTTCAAAAGCAACTAAAACCTAGTTTGAATTTCCCCATTTACTTTGTTTCATTTATGTATGTTGTTTGCTTTTGTTTACCTCGCTGTATCATTTTGTTTGTCAAGTTGCTGTTTGCCAAGACCACTAGATATGCTGGGTCCCTGTAGACTTCATGTAAATGGTGGACCTTAACATGAAACCATCTGAGAGTACCTTTGTAGTACTTCCCCCAGTTTCTCTATTTTCTTAGCTCAAATGCAGTAGGTTCCCAGTAAATCCTGATTTCATCCAGGCATGTCTCATGATCATATTACAGAAAAAGAAGAACTTCAAATATTAAGGCTGCCACCCTGTGGTTCATACCGTATTTACACATTTTACACTTCACTGCATTATTGTGCTGATTCCACACTGAAACGTAAGTCACGCCAGAGCGCAAGTAAAATGAAAACACCGTAATATATGTTGTACACGCATTCCTCAAACTTCTATCAAATTTTATGGATTTTTATTCCTCACTAAAAACCATTAATAAATAGAATAAAACTATTTTAAGAATAGACAAAACTTCAAATGAACTTTGCTAAAAACATACCCTGAAAAAATCACAGCACTGACAGGCTTAGGATTTTTATTCTGCACAAATAATAAACAAAATAAACTCTGGAGTGCATTCAATAGAAACAAATAACCTTTATAAAATTGAAACTTACATTTTAAGGAATTCAAATCTGAATGTAACCAAACTACTATTTTAGTTGACAAATATGAATATATTTAAGAACACCAAACTGTTTCCCCCTCAAATAATTCTTTTATCCCTGTTAATACTCCCCCTCGTCTTCACCTTCACCCTCAACAGATTCAAGCCCAACCTCCTCATAATCCTTCTCCAAAGCTGCCATGTCCTCCCTGGCCTCAGAGAACTCTCCCTCCTCCATACCCTCACCTACATACCAGTGAACAAAAGCACGCTTAGCGTACATCAGATCAAACTTGTGGTCAAGTCGAGCCCAGGCCTCTGCGATAGCAGTGGTGTTGCTCAGCATGCACACAGCCCTCTGGGCCTTGGCCAGGTCTCCACCAGGAACTACAGTGGGCGGCTGGTAGTTGATGCCAACCTTGAAACCAGTGGGGCACCAGTCCACAAACTGGATGGTGCGCTTGGTCTTAATGGTGGCGATGGCGGCATTGACGTCTTTGGGCACCACATCACCACGGTACAAAAGGCAGCAGGCCATGTATTTGCCGTGGCGAGGGTCACATTTTACCATCTGATTGGCTGGTTCAAAGCAGGCGTTGGTAATTTCTGCCACTGTTAACTGCTCATGGTAGGCCTTCTCAGCAGAGATGACAGGGGCATAGGTGGCCAGAGGGAAGTGGATACGAGGATATGGCACCAAGTTGGTCTGAAACTCTGTAAGATCAACGTGAAGTGCACCATCAAAACGCAGGGAAGCAGTGATGGAGGACACAATCTGACTCATCAGCCTGTTGAGGTTGGTGTAGGTTGGACGCTCAATGTCCAGGTTCCTGCGACAGATATCATAGATGGCCTCGTTATCCACCATGAAGGCACAGTCAGAGTGCTCTAGAGTGGTGTGGGTGGTCAGGATGGCGTTGTATGGCTCTACCACAGCAGTGGACACCTGCGGAGCTGGGTAGATGGAGAACTCCAGCTTGGACTTCTTGCCATAATCAACAGAGAGACGCTCCAACAGCAGGGATGTAAAACCAGAGCCCGTACCACCGCCGAAGCTGTGGAAAACCAGGAATCCCTGAAGACCAGTGCACTGGTCAGACTGAGGACAGAGAAACAGACATTGACCAGATATAAGAAATTCAATAATATAGTTTAGATGATGGGTCAGGGACCACTTCATTTAGTAATAACAAAGTAGGCATATATATGCTGTCAGTGTGACAAACACAATCCCAGGCACCTCCATTGTACTGGTCTAAAGGCAGAAATCTCATAAACAGGTCTCAAAACCTGGAAAATCAAAAGAAAACTGCATGGCTAGAAAATCACCTAAAATGAGCAGGGATATTACTCTTCATGTATAAGGTTTTGGTGCCCTCTAGTGGTGCACAGTTAAACTGCATAATTTGAGTCAGTTGAATCACAGCACAAATGTGTTGCAGACTATTTATAGAAAAATGTGTTGCAGAAAATTATAGAAAATCATGCTTAATCACAGGCTCCCAGTCTTATTAGGAAGGAACTCTGAAGTGACCCACCAGTTTGCGGATCCTGTCCAGCACCAAGTCAATGATCTCTTTGCCGATGGTGTAGTGTCCACGGGCATAGTTATTGGCAGCATCCTCCTTGCCAGTGATCAGCTGCTCAGGATGGAACAGCTGCCGGTAGGTGCCTGTTCGCACCTCATCTGAGGAGACAGTGTTGAATCAGAACAACTAAAGGGTCTGACTCGCCAAAATCAACCAGAGACTATGGTCCACATTCAGTTAAGACTTTACCGATGACTGTGGGCTCCAGGTCCACAAAAACAGCTCTGGGGACGTGCTTTCCAGCTCCAGTCTCACTGAAGAACGTGTTGAAGGAATCATCTCCCCCTCCAATGGTCTTGTCACTGGGCATCTGTCCATCAGGCTGGATCCCATGTTCCAGGCAGTAAAGCTCCCAGCAGGCATTGCCAATCTGGACACCAGCCTGACCCACGTGCACTGAGATACACTCACGCTGGAGGAAAACACAGGCAATTTTTTTAACATTTAGCTACTAATCACATGCTTTAGATTAGTCATGAGGGGCTGGGGAAAAATCAATACAGCATAGTATCACAATATTTTTGTTATTATATGATTATTATATAATCTGTCAATATTAAAAATACAAATCAAACTTTAGGTAGCCTACTAAAATAACACAATCAATTACTTTTTCAGTCCATTAGATACATGTTGCTGCTGCAAAATAATTGCTGTAGTCAGATGAACACACTGGAAACTTTTCACACAATAGCATATCGCAACATATTTGAAATCACAATAATATTGTACCGTGACTTAAGTATAGTAATGATATCATATCCTGGACCGTCTGGTGAAATCCACCTCTATTAGTCATCATGTGTTGAAGCTAGCAAATGAGATCGGGCTTGATTCAGCAGTGAGGCAAAGTCATCTGATAGGCTACATGTTGCATATTCATTTAGCCTCTAAATAAAGCAAGACAAACCTGCGGACAACATGACAGACCTTAATCCAGAACCTCAATGGGAGGAAGAATTTGACCTAAACGGTGCTTGTGGAGGACAAACTTCATCATATAGCATTTTATCAAACTTGCAGGATCAGTGGATGGCTTACAAGTGTCTGATTATATCCAAATCTGACGAACAAAAATACTTAAACTGCACCATTACTGACCTCAACTGAGAATTTTCAGCCCAATTTAAAGAATACTTACATTTAAGAATCACTGGATTGTTCACAAATTTATATCAATTTGTACGGTTGTCAAAAATGTACAATTGAGGTGTTTACTACACACTGATTATCTTAATTAACAATAAGGCTAATTGTTTCTTTACTGGTTATAGAAACTGTCCATTTAGCTAAAAAAAACTCCTCCTTTCATCTGACTGAAATATTTGTTAAACTGTAAAGACAGAGCTAACAGTTAGCACAATCTTCTAACACGAATTAGCTTTAAAGACTGGGCGAACCGTTAGCTCTGTCTGCGCAACGGTTTATCCGTCCAATCTGTCAGTTAGCGAGCTATTTTGTTTAACGGTAACAGAACAACCAGCATCTCAAACCTCCGGGCAAAACTGGTCTTAAGCGGTGTCTTTCCATTTATCAAAAAACTAAAATCCAGTTAAGATACACTTAATTCACTAAATCACTATTCAGGTATCCTTTACAACATCAAACTTGATTAAACTGTCGTCCTCCATCTTGTCATTGTAACGTTAACGTCACCTAACTTGACCGTTACGTTACCTTGGCTAAAATTCTGACATTAACGTTACCGGTTGCATTAATGTTAGCTAACACCGATTCAGTACCTTAATTTACCTGATAGCTGGCACAAAAAGTAAAACTTTACAGTTTTTCACCCGGTTACATAAATCATAACTTGACAATAATTCATACTTACCATGTTAATAGAGGTTGTAAAGCATGAAGATTGTAAAAATAACAGGAATAATGGTCTTGCCGGTCCTCTGAGGGTTTTGCTGCGCAGTGCGCACGCGGGGAGACGATCTGCTGATCTGATTGGTCGAGTGTCACATAAAGTCTTTTCCTATTGGTTAAAAATGTCACCATTACCCGTGTGTGTGGTTGACCTTTACTTGATCACTGTAGTTTTTAATGCCAGAATTGATTTGGATTAAAAGACAACCCTCCGCATTTATGTTTAAAGGTAACTGTTTTCGAACATACTTGACTACCACAAAAAAAAGTAAAACTCAAAAATTATAAAAATGTTTTTGACATTTCAGTTTTACTCCAATTGTTCAGCAGACCCTGAAGATTTCTGCTTTCATTATTTATTTCTTTTCCATTTATTTATTTGTTGTGCAATTGAATTTTTTTTACACCATTTTTATATTATGAAATAAATTTTCTGCAACTTTATAATTGAAATCTGGAACATAGCCCAAATACTCTGTAATAAACGTATTCAACAGAGTCGAATTTATTCTATTTAGTTTAGTCATTCAGTTATTACCTGAGGACGAACTTCAAACACACTGCACTGTTAACGACACAGAGAACCATTATTCATGCCAGAGCTTCTGTTTTATTGTTCACATTTACAGAATTTGAATGTGTGAGTACAGCGTTTATACAGAAAGCCCACTTGTCCATACAGCAAACAGACATTTAACACATCTCCTCACACTATGTACAGATTAAGCCATGGTAAAGCCTGGGCCACTAGCACACTCGGCGTAACACTCAGTCACTCAAGGTTCAGAACAGGTTGATGATGGACTCTAGATGTTTATTAATGTGACAGATAACACATGTTTTAGTGTTACTGGAATGGTGTATACCTGAAAGGGGGGCAGCTGAAAGGAGGAAGAGAACCGGGCAAATTCAGGATTGTCTGAAGCAAATCTGAACATTTACATTTCAGACACAAAAAACGTTTCTTCATCATTATCAGTTTGTTGTTTTTTTTTTTTTAAATCTTTTTTAAATTTTGGACTGTTTTTGTTTGGTTCGCTGCTCAAATGAAGGTGATGTTTACTGAGAGTGAATATATGATCACTAGTTTAGTGGTGGAACAGTGTCAGCAGCACCATGTTGGTCCTGAGATTTAAGTGTTTCAAGTGGGGTTTGTCACAGCCACAAAAACAGAACTGCAACGTTAGATGACCAGAGACCTACTTAGCAGCTGGTAGAAAACACAAGTTATTAATATTGAGTGTTAACTTTGTCTAGTGGGGTAAACAAAGCTTGTGATAGTGTTTTTTGGGATGCAGTGTCTGGATTTCCTCATGTAAAGATACCGCTCGCTGGTCTTCTCGCCACATTGCCACGTTAAATCGTAACAAAAGCAAAAATCTCATCAGGTGGCAGAAGTTGGAAAAATGAATCTCTGAAGTAAGGACCAACTTATTATAAATGCCTAAAAACACTATTCAAACTGTAAATGACCTAAAAACACCTTCAAGAACATCTTCATGTACATGTGGAGCTGCTTTTTACCCACCTCACAACTGTGGAATTAAAACTGTAAAACAACTTTTCGCCCAATTCCTAATTCCTGCAATACCTTTAGTAAGAGATCTTTTACATTTTTAACTTTTTACACAATCTACAGACGTGCAGACAGTTTCTCATTTGGCAATCTTTTTGGTAAAGCAAAAATACTGCTTATTACGGAGCCTTTAAAGTCCTGAAAAGTGACATTTTCTTTTTATCTTGTTCCAACAAGATAATTAAATTGTGCACACAACATAATATGACCTTTCGGGACTTTAGGGGCTCCGTACTTTGTTCTAATTTCCATCACAATATCTTTTGGAAACTATGGCAGATGAACCGTTCATTTCAGAGATCACCAGCTTACCAAAAATATAAATTCAGTGTAAATTTGGGGATTTTTCATTCAGTGTTTTTCACTCATACATCTTGAAATCTCGTATTACAGAAAAACTGAATCATCTGTCGTATGACCCGCTTCCAGATTCTGAACAGATGACACTGACTGTGTTTACATGCGCACCAATATTCCACTATTATTCTTAACAAGACAATATTCTGGATTTCATTGGGGTCGTGTAAACAGCATATTCTGTTAGAATGTTCTGAATTAGGGACGTCGGTTGCTTAGTGGTAGAGCAGGCGCCCCATGTACAAGGCTGTTGCCGCAGAGGCCCGGGTTCGAGTCCAGCCCGTGGCCCTTTGCTGCATGTCTCTATCTCTCTCTCTCTCTCTCCCCCTTTCACACTTAACTGTCCTGTCCATTAAAGGCAAAAAATGCCCCAATGTAACTTATTGTTAGGATAATCTGTAGCTATTGTTTTTATATTTGTCTGCTGTTGCTTTTGCTTTATGTTTGCTTTTTAAATGCATTTTCTGCACTGTTTTTCTTGCTTTTAGCTTTTGTTTTTAATGATTTATTGTTCCTTTAATGTTTTATCTTAACGTATTTCCCTTGTAAAGCACATTGAATTGCCTTGTGTATGAATGGTGCTATATAAATAAAATTGCCTTGCCCTGCCTTGCCCAAAAAAATATCTTAACAAAAAAAAAAAAAAAAAAAGAATATTCTTAATTATCATTATTCATTATTTTCCCAAACAAAGCATTTTCCGATCAAGACATAGCTGGGTTTAGGAGCATTTTTTGGACACATATACAACAAATTCAGAATGTGCGTCACAGTTTGTACTGACCCGAATGCTTTGAACAGTCAACTGTTGCTATAGTAACTGACATCCAAATCAGTAAACTGGTGGAGGAAATTAAAGGAGGTGGCGAGTGTCAAACAAAGATGAGGTCAGTGTCTTTCTTACAGTCACTGACCCCCGCTTCAAGCAATTTAACTGGCTGACTGACAAGAAGTACTAACAGATGACGAAATTATGAAATGTGGACCGTTACCTGCTGCTAACATGTGTAATGACGCGCTAACTTTGGATCAAGTAATGCAGCCAGACTCGCAGCATTCTCAGTTATTAATAACTTACAGAAACATTGCATGCAATAGTCCACCTTCCACCTTCTCTATCACTCTCAGTCAACGCTGACCTTTTTAAGAGGGTGGTTGAGGGACTAAAAGAGGGAGGTTGTGTTTGGTCGATTAAGTCTGCCACCGATGGCATAGACGCAAATTGGCACCAGGGTTTCTAGTCATTCCTCTTTTCCATATTTTGACATGATCAAAGCCATTTTAGGGCATGTTAATTGAAGTATGCACTGCTGCATGTAAACAGGATTATTAGTGGAATATACCTTTTCATTAGCCATGTAAACTCCTAAAGGGGAATACTGTTTTTTCAGAGTAAGGGCAAACACCAGAATATTTTGCGCATGTAAATGTGGTCACTGAATGAAAAAATAAGTCTTGCAATGATGTTCTTGAAATGTGATTCAAGAACATTTGTGAGCCATCTGTCTTTATTCATCTTTGCTTCAACATGCTGGATTTGTTCTGACTGGCCTGTGTAGTTAAAATGGAGGATTTACAATTACATTTTCTATTTTCCTCTTCTGGGAATTTCTAGAAGGACTTCAAACCAACTCCTGGGAGTTGTTACTGGTAGCAGCAAATCAACTGATTATCTCACTCCTCTGCTATTCTGCAAGGAGTCATAGAGTTTAAGTTTTTAAATCTATATTCATCTTTGGTGGTTAGACTACAGAAAAATCAAACACAGAGCAGATTTTCTGCTTTCTGTGCAAGGGGATCAAATTGGCATAAAAAAAACATATAATGTCTTACAACTAAAATTACATTTCACTAGGAGAGGATTTTCCAGTCATCATGTAGTGTTGTGTAAACCCGTGCCACCATAGAAGTCATGGCTGAAGAAGTGTGAACACTGCGAGAAATACTGAGACAAGGGTTAGTGTTTTATTCTTCAAGTTGATGTCTGATACAGAGCTGACACTGAGTCAGGGTAAAATCAAGTTGGGACAATGATAGAGTGGGGAGAGGAGGGGAAGGGGGGGTTAGGATGGGGTGGTTTAAGAGATCTTCGCATTTGGAGTGCTTGTGTTTCATTGCGTGTGCGTCTATGTGTGTGTGCAGATGTAAATATGTGTGTCAGAGTTCGGTGCCTGCTGCTTCAGAGAAAAAGGAATTTGTGAGAAGCACAAGGCCGGGGGGAGGTTATGGCCACGGGGAGAAGAGACAGAGCACCAGGCTCCTTTGTTCTCTGCTCTTGGTTTTGTCACTAGTCCAGCTGTTCGCCAGAGGTCAGCGGAGTGAGACACTATGCCAGCGAGCGCTGACGAGGCTTGATCCTAGGATAGAGCTGCAAACAGGAAACAAACAGAAGAAGTAATGTTAAACATCGATAATGTGACTTGTTCGTGTTTGTTTAAAATACTTTGTCACTACATGTGTTTCAATTAAGTTGTCAAGCGAAGTTTGAAGACATAATATGAAGGATATTCCTAACTAACAATGTAGAGACTCATACAGATGTTATTTCCTCTCAGTCATCACTATTGACCCACTCTCAGTGTGTGTAAGTGTAGTTTTTGTGTTCATGACAGGATACAGGAGGGACAGGTGAAGTGAATGTCAAGCTGACGACAAGTTGTTACGTAACATGAAATAAAAGCAAGTGCCATAGGTTCAAGATAATAATGGTGACTAGCAAAGAAACAACTGTTTTGTCTACGAAACTTAGAAGGGCAGAGCAGGATTTTATACTTTTTCTTAAAATTTCAGGTTGTTCCAAGTTTGTCTAAAAGGCTTTCTGGCAGAAACGCCTTCAGACAAACTTCTCCCAACAGTGCCGCCACCCCAAAGCAGCCAGCCGAGGGGTGCCACTGCATCTAAGTAGAAATTTAACCAGCCAATCAGCTCATGGGAATGGCCAGTATGTCATTAAGGGCTGCATATATTAAATACACATTTCCCTAACCACCCTCCTGGGTCCATGATGGATTCAGAAACGCTCTATCTCCATAATTTACAATTCCATTGATCCCTCAACCTGAATCCAACAGCCCATCTGAAGCAGACTGGAGAGCAACAAAT